GGCTGGTTGTTTTATTGAAAATACAGAGAACAAATGGTGGCAGGTTTACACAAACTTGAGCCAGGTGATGCTTAGAATAAACATCACAATGCAATGTCCAGATTGAAATCAGGCAGTGGGGTAGAGAAATCAGCATTTGAATGAACAAGGGTAAATTGTATACATTCCACAAGAACGTTATACCAACAACGTGGCCAATAGGGAATGACAGTATTAGGAGGTGTGGCCTTGTGGAAGAAGTGTGTCACTGTGGGGGCAGGCTTTGAAATTTCTTATGGTCAAACTATGCCACATCTGGCAGTCTCCTTCTGCTGCCTTCCAATCAAAATGTAGACCTCTCGGCTCCTTCTCCAGCACCATGCCTGCCTGCACTCTGCCATGCTTCTACCACGGTGATAATGAACTATACCTCTGAAACAGTAAGCTAGCAGTTTTCCTCAATAGGAGTTACTGTGCTTACATTGTCTCTTCGCGGCAATAAAACACTAAGACACTCTCTTCACTTACCTTGTTGCTGAGGTAAATTGATTAAGAGCAAACCTTTGCCTTTAGTGCCAGCTTGAGCCCCATGACTTTAAAATGTATGAAATTGGTCCAAGTTCCTTAATCCCTTTGATGGTTCCTCCATCTAAAAGGTCTCCATGGAAGTAACTTTGCTCATATTTAATACAACAGGGGAAGAGGACTGACTGAGCCCAGTAACGACAGTCAATGTCATTTTAACCAGCGCTGATACCATCGTCATTGACATTGTCAACCCATCGGATGCGTGTAACTGTGGAACAGCTTTGGAAGATTAGGACAATAACTTGGGGCCCATCGCAAGACGCTTAACACTCCACCACCCTGGCTTGTCAAGCGAGCGGGATTTGTGACAGAGCACACACTTCACGCTGGCGTCTGGGACGTCATTCTCTGCACTCTGGGCCTGTCACCTTTTCTCTTCGGAGTGTACCCCTCACACTAATATTACCATTTATCTTACCTGTTCCACCGAGTCCTAAAAGGAGATATTCCTCGTCGACACACCTCCCTCTTGATGCCCATTTCTTACTTTATGTCTCACTATTTTGAATAGCGCTAGTGACCTGAAGGTATAATTTTTTTTTTTTTCAAAAAGCCCAAAGCCACCTTACTCTCTCTTTCCAGGGAAAAGGGGACCTATCCTCACTTTTCTGATGAACAGACTCTTCTCCTGCCCCCACTATAGCCACACCTGGCAGTTCCCACTACGCTACGCCGATGAAACTGCATCCCAGGACAATTTTGTCTCATTCAACATTTTTCTTCCTGAAGCTGTAACACCATCAGCACCACATCTTGCTCCACCAGCAACTTGGTGGTTCTGCCTTCCCCTGCAGGGCCTCCTCACTGGAGACTCCTCAGGCCTGTCTGTTTTCATTAGGTTTTGCTTCAGTGGCATGGAGCTAACTTTGAGAAACAGAGGTTACTTTGTTTAACCTAGCTGCAAAAACCATTCTAGGCACAAATGTCCCAGGGTTCTGCAGAAATCTTGAGAGAGAAAATTTTAAGAGTTTTAAGCAAAAGAAGAAAAGTCTCTGACAGAATTAAAAAAAAAAAAAAAAAACAATTACGTGAATGCAATAGCATGTTTCTTAACTGATGAGGTTATGAAATAAGTTAAAAGGTGTGTTGTCTGTAGTACTCATTCAAAAAGCATGCTGTGAGTTAGCTCTACATTTGTGCGACCATCCTGAGATTCCTTTTGTCAAAAACACTCATGTACGACAAGTCCTGCCTCTCTGCTGGGAAAAAAACAGCTGTTGCTTCTCCATTGACTCAGAGATTCTGCAGGGATTGGAGCCCAAGGGAAGCAAGAAAAAGAGGCCAATTGTGGAACAGACAAGCAGGTTCTGAATCAGGGCATATGCATGAGTCCCCGGTTGGGCATCAGGGGGAGAGTTGATGGATGTTCCCATTTTTCCCCCCACAAACGTAAGATTTATGATGTCTGAAATTATTTATATCTGAGAAGATTCTGAGACTTCATCTGGTTGCAAGGATTTGATAGTTGTTGTTGGTTTTTTGTTTTGTTTTTTTTTTAAAGAAACACAAATTAGACCACTTTTCAAGTGTAATAAATGCAGGTTCTTTGAACATAATTGTTCAAGTTCTACATAAAATATCCTTTTACTTTGAAATCATTTGTCACTAATTTGTGAGTTTTTATTTGCAGAAAACCTTATTTGGTCTACAAATGATAATATTTATAAATAAAAATACAGAAAACACAGTTATCAATAATTAAATATGGAATATAAAATCAGAACTGGATATATTTTCTAGAAATCTGGTAGTGTATTTGAATGACTTTTGCTTAAAAATTGGCTTTTTGTCACTTATAATGTTCACTTTGCAAGGCTTCTACTGTCTCCAAAACAATTGGTCTCCAGGGCAACATGAAGTAAGGTTCAATAAAAGGCTTGAATAGCAGTTCATTAGGAAAAAAAAAAAAAGAAGAAGAAGAAGGCCTCTCTACAAGACAACAAATATTGGTTTCAAATTTGAGCCTAATTTTTTTTTTTTTTTCTGAATCAGGGTGTCACTACATAGACCAAGCTTGCCTCAAACCTGCCTCATTTTCCCCAGTGGTAGTATTGCAGGCATGCACCCCCATTCCAGGTTTGGACCTCAAATGAAGAAACACAAGAGCAGATCCTTCAGGTGTCAGTCTTGGTTTGTAACAACTTGGTTTGGACAACTTTTGTGTAATGGGCATCAAGGTAACAGCAAGTCTTTCAAAACTTAACAATGTTCAGTATTTTCCCCTAGCACAGTAGAAAGCCCAGCTAGTAATAAATGTTTGACATCCTAATAAGGAACTAGAAAGCCTGAGTCCGAATGTGTGTCCTCAGGGAACACTTACCTAAGTGACTCAGATGGGGTCCAGAGACTCTGAGTCCATTACCATGAACTGCTGCGTACCATTTGAAGACAGCACGCAAGAAACAGTGCCAGGAATGTTGCATACTTGGGTATTGCTGGATGTAATAGTATGATGTAAAACGCTCTTGAGCAGAAAGGTAACTGAATGAGTAATACAATTCGAGACACGAGAGAGAAAAGACAGGACCTGACTGCAGGGAATACCTAATTAGCACCATACTTCTGAACTAGCTCTACACAAGCTGAACAAGACAGGTAGCACTTCAGATGCAATGAAGACACTTTCCCATTTTCCTCATATTTCTACACATTTAGACCAAAATAACAAAGGCTGGTCATGGTGGTGCTCTTCTTTAAGCCCAGCACTCGGAGGCGGAGGCAGGTGGATCTCTGTGTGTTCAAAGCCAGCCTGGTCTATGTAAGTGAGTTCCAGGACAGCTGGGGCTATGTTGAGCCACCTGGGTCAAACTAACAAAAAAGAAGGAGGAGGAGGAAGATGAAGACGAAGACAAAGAAAGAAAGGAGGGAAGGAAAGAAGAAAGGAAGAGCTTGGAGAAAAGCTGGGTTATTTTTATTAATTCTGTTACTGTCCATTATTGTAGAGAAGCCAAGGCAGAAAGCTCCAATAGCTAGTCACATCATACCCACAATCAAGAGCAAAAAGCAATGAACACAAACAAGCTTGTTTGCTTGTGCTTTATTTGATTTCTCTGCTCTTATACAGTTTGGGGCCCTCTGCCTAGAGGATGGTGCCTCCCACAGAGGGCTAGATCTTCCCATATCAATTAATTTAATCTACACAATTCTCCACAGGTATCCTACAGACTAACCCAATGTACACAAGCCCTGAGTGAGCCTCTCTTCCCAGGTGATTGTATGTTGTGTAAGGTTGACTAAGCTAAGGGACTAAACTAAGCATTACAGCAGACAAATGCTGGTCTACCAGAACCTTGTTTTTCTTAACCCTACCCTTTTTCTGGGTGGGCATGAATAGCTTTCGCAGAACTGCTGTTGAGAGCCTCCCACTCACCCTCATTCTTATTGAAAGACTTGTCCTTTGGCTTCTACCACTCTTCTGATTTTCACAGTATTTCTTCGGCTACCCCTTTGTAGTTTTCTTCTAAGCTGTCTACCTGTCCCTTGGAGGTTGATGATCCTTAAGAGTCTGGTCCCAGCACTATGCTTTCTTCTATAATCCATTTTGAGAAGAATTCTAGTGTAAGGGTAAAAACTGAAGATGCTAGAACTGTATGGGACCTGTTTATTAACGGCTGTGTGGCCTTGGGAAAGTTATCTGACATCTCTGATATTTTCTCACGTAAAAGGTTCTAAAGTAGAAGCTGTTTCTGAGGGCCACAAAGAGGAGAAATATATTCTTGCATGTAATGAGCATATCATAAAACACAGTAAATATTGGGAGGCAAAGCTTATTTGAAAAACTCTATATGTCACTTATTTGAAAAACTCTATATGTCATTCAGTTGTTATTATTTGTCATTTAGCTGATTAGCTAGTAAACACTGATTCTCTAGACAGAATTTATCCTGAGCTCCAGGTCTGAAAAACCAGTTGCCAACATTTCCAAATGTTCCTTAAACTCAACATTTACCAAGTAACTAATTTCTGTCTTCCCACTCCTGCTTTAGCCAAAATTTTTATATTCATTTTCCTGTTTGAATAACAGCTCTCCCTTTGGGAATCTTTTTCCAGATGAATGACAGCACAGTCCATCAAGTCCCAAACCCTTGAAAATTTAATGTTCTCTTCTTTCAGCTAACGCTGTCTTAGACATAACATAATCACTAATGGGGTGATTCAGTTTTCTCTTTGTTGCTAATTCAATTTTACCTTCTTCCTATTTTCTCTTATGGATTACTGTTACAGCTCTGCTCCCCCACTCCAACTCTGCACTGTGAAGGTTCTTGTATAAACTAGTCATTTCCCTCTGTGAAAAAACTGTTCAGTTCATTCTGCTTTGGAAGAGCCCAAGAGAGGCTGTCTCCCACCACTCCCCTTCTCCCCTCCTTTCTGGCTGGAGCTGAGACTGTCAATCCCAGGCAGAGACAAGGCAGACAGAGGTTCATTTGTAAAGAACCTCCTTCCAGCCCTCCTCTCTTCTCTGTTGCCCAGACTACCCAGTGAGCTGGAGCATTTAAGAAGATTCTTCAGCCCGAAAACACTGAAAAGAAAGAAAAAGGTATGCAGTTTTTTTTTTTTCCTCTATGCAAACATTTTATATCATGTATTCTCTTCTATACTGCTGCTATAGATTAGAGCAGGAATATGTGTGCGTGTTGAATAAAGGGGAAAGACATAGAGATTGAGAAACCCTCTAAGGCAACAGTGCATGCACTTTGAAAGAGATGGGTTCTGGGATAAAGCAAAGAATCTGATCAAAAGAGGGTAGCGAATGTGGGTCCTTGGCTGGGAAAGTCATTGACCACATTTCAAGAAGAGACTGACTGCACACTGTCATTCACTCGGCATCAGCCTCCTGCCCTTCGGAATTATGTGCAGGTGATGAACTACACAAGATTGCTCTGACAGTCCTCTACATGAAGCTAATTGCAATGTCAAAGAAAGCAAATGGTTTTGCTTTTAGAAACTATGATTCCTGAAAAGAACCTGGTAACGACGCGTGGCACAAAGAGGGAATTCATTGACTCCGTCCTTGGTGTTCTCACCACGGAACACAGCACAGAGTCTGTGTCTGCTGAGATGGAGAGAACACTTTCCCTTCATGACTTAGAAACACAATACCTCTCTAAGAGTCCTTGACCCCATTCCTTGCACAGTCTCTGAGGAAGCTATCCTCCACTGTTGGTCCGTTTTCTCCTCTGATGAGTTATTATGGTCAGAAAATAATTAGAACGATACAAGGTTGAGTATTGATATGCAGCAGCATGCTGTGCGGAGCCTGAAGGCTTCAGTGACCGTGTAGACTGCTTTCCCAAGGGTGAAGGTGTCTCGAGGCCTTGGGCTGCACAAGTGTTACAGGAAGTTTTTGAAAGGCTTATCTACCTTCTATGCCGTTTCTGTTTCTCGACATGCTCTTTGAGATATTTCACTTCAGGACCTGACTATCCTAGCACAACCTCCCTCTAAGACACTTGACAAGAAAACACAGGAGGGGCTGGAGAGATTGCTCAGTGGTTAAGGGCACTGACCTCCTCTTCCAGAGGACTTGGGGCCAAATCCCAGGACCCTCCTGGCAGCTCACCACTGTCTGTAACTCCAAGATTTAACACTCTCACATAGACATACATGCAGGCAAAACATCAATGCACATAAAATAAAGGTAAATAAATTAAATTAAAAAAAAAAAAGAAAAGAAAGAATTTAAGTAATAACTGGTTTTTTTCTTCAGTGCCCAAGATAGCACAGTTAAGACAACAACTGATCTCTCCCAGCTATCATTTTGAAATATCCAGTGTCAAACATTCAGGGCTAGAGTTGTCCGTTGGTTGTGCAGGCTTGCTTCTGTGCTGTTAGCTGTTGGATAGACATCTGGAAACGGACTGCTCCTTCAGTCTAACTCGGCAACCCTGTGTTATTCCACTGCTCTGAACGCTGGTTCCCAGAACCGGCCTTAGCTGCTTCTATGGTTCCCAGAACCGGCCTTAGCTGCTTCTATGAACACCACACCACAGACGGCTGAATATTTACACTACCTCTCCCTGTTAGTTTTGGCCGTTAAATGGTTTAGTTTTTCCTTGTTAAGTCTCTGTTTAACTCCAGCCACTCAAAAGCTTGCCAAAACCTCTCTCGGAACTAAACTTTGCAATTCCCTTCCGAGAGACAGTGCAATGACGTCACGCTCGTGTGGAAACGCCTTCTTTGTATTCTGCGTCCTCTGCGGTGATTTTATTCTCCTGACAAAGTGTGTGTTGTGTGTATGCGAAATTTTAAGAACACCAATATTTGGATGTATCATACGACATTAGGAATGATATTAAGACCACCATTGTGAAGTTTTTAAAAAACCAATGCCGAACCAGTCTCAAGGGTTCCATGTTCCTTCAGATCCACAGTCTCTCACTAGGTTTTCCTGCAAGCTAAATGTTCTCCAGGAGGAATTTTAACTGCATGCACATGACCTCAAAGAGAGAGAGAGAGAGAAAAAAGGACAGTAATTTCCTTCAAAATGGTCAGTCCTCTCACTCTGGTTTGCATTTGAAAAATATAAAGTTTTGATAGATTTCTGAGGATTATGGTTGGTGTTTCTTAGTGAGAAAAACAAAACTGGCAAATAAACCCAGGGAACCAACCAGCCCAGACAATCTTGCATTTGCTGGTTAAGAATTAAAGCTATTTATTGGAACCAAAGTAAAGGAAGAGAAGGTTTCACTTACAATGTATAATTTATAAAGTGTTTAAGAAATTAGAAAAAAAAAAAAAAGCCCACCATAGGTGCTTGCCAGGTGTGGAAATTTCCACTGCTGCAGACTGAGCCTTGGACAGAACACAGCCTTGTGCTCTGGCACAGGCGCGATGTACACAGTACAGCAACCTCCCTGCTTTTCCAGAAATTCATTTCTTCGTTCATTAAGTAAATGCTTGCTTTCTTCTTCTTCTTCTTCTTCTTCTTCTTCCTCCTCTTCTTCTTCTTCTTCTTCTTCTTCTTCTTCTTCTTCTTCTTCTTC